GGGAGGGTACGGTCTTTAGATATCATCAATTGAATTGATCGAACCCTTGGTAATTCAGAATTGCAGTATTTCACTCATCTGCTTCCAGTGGAGTTCGAAGTCAGATGTGTATTTCAAACAGTTCATGTGTGTATGTGTACCAACTGAGCTCTGCCCGTTGGTCTTCTTCTTCTTCTCCTTCTTCTTTACCCTGAGTGCAAAGTACGTGAGGAAGTGAAATGATCGTACTCTTGAAAGCATGGAGGAAGAGCCTGATCGTACTCTTCAAAGCATGGAGGAAGAAGAGYGGTTTGGCCGCTGTTTTTTTTACTACTATTCGTCTTCTTCTTGTTCTCGTCGTGTTTCTTTTTCATTCTGGTCGTCGTCGGTCTCTTGCGTTTCTCTGTCTTCTTCTTCTTTGTCTTTCAGCGTGTTGTCCCCCTGCTGCTGCTTCCTTCTCTTCTTACCCTCGTTGCAGTTCGGCTTTTTGTCCTTCTCCTCCTCCCCCTCCTCTTCCCTCTCCTCCTGCTTGTTTTCCTACGGTGTGTGAGTGCGTGTGTCTCTCTCTCTCTCTCTCTCTCTCTCTCTCTCTCTCTCTCTCTCTCTCATGACGTCCAGCTTCTTCCTTTCAGCAGTCGTTCAGCTCTTCCTTTGCCTACTATCTACATCCGCTTCCTGTGTTCTTCTTCCTCTCTCCCTTCTCTGGACGTGAACACAGAATGGTGAGACTACCTTCTTCCCCCGAATACAACGTACGGCCATCATAGCTGCATCTAGACTGAACGATCCCCAAGTACGACTACAATGACCGTACGTTGTATTCGGGGGAAGAAGTGAGGTTGTAGGTAGGTGATACGATATAGAAGAGGCGAAGGTCGTCGGCCCTCGTATGCTCAGTCGGTTGGAATGTGCGGTGGAGTCGCATGGCGGATCTGAGGAGAACGCCCCTAAGGAGTGCCAGGTGCGCAACATGGCAACCTGGACGAAGCGCGTCGGGCAATGTGCGCGTGTCTTCTGACTTCAGTGTATGCGGAGACGATTGCAATTGTGTGGAAGCATGTATGCAAAACCGTGTTGGCCGCTGTTTATCATTAGTCAGCTTCGTCTTGTGTCTTGTTTCTTCTTTCCCTTCGTTGTAGATCCTATCTTCTTCTTGCTTCTTTGCTCAGTAGGATGAGAGGTGAGTTCGGTGGGCCGCAAGGCGGTCRTGAGGTTAGCCCCCTGAGGATGATCGGAGCGCAGCCGATCGAAAGGCGTCGGGAAATGTGCGCGTGAGCTGAGATGAGTATGCGCGGATATGTATGGAAGAGCTTTCGAAGCGTGTACGAAAGGCAGTTGGCCACTGTTTCCACTATTCTTCTTCTTCTTCTTCTTCTTCTTCTTCTTGCGGAGATGTAATGTTTATCTGTTGAAGCATGTGCGAGAAGCAGTCTATGGCCGTTGTTTTCACTATTCTTCTTCTTCTTCTTTAACTCAGTAGGTTGGGAGGACAGCTGGGGGACCGCAAGGCATGGTTGTGGGCGGAGAATGATCGGAGCGCAGCCGATCGAAACACGCGTCCGGGGAATGTGCGCGTAAGCTGAGGCTAGTATGCGCGGGTGTGTACTGAAGAACTTACGAAGCGTGTACCAAAGGCAGTTGGGCCCCCCTGTTTTCACTATTCTTCTTCTTCTTCTTCTTCTTCTTCTTCTTCTTTGCGCGTTTCAACTGAGAACTGTACATGTGGAGAAGTATTGATTTTTTTCTCGATGCGTGTGCGAGAAGCAGTCGGTGGCCTCTGTTCACTCTTCTTCTTCTTCATGCAAGAACGGCGAACATGTTTGGTCAATGCGCTTAACTTTAGTTCTATCTTCTTGTTGGTTGAAAKTGAGGTGGCACCGCCAGGCTGCATCGTGGAAAGCCCCTGAGGAGRAAGCATCTGGTCGATAGGTGTAGGAGAAAGCGCGCGTTTTGGACGTTTGTACATGCGGTTTCGATGTCGTGATGAACTTCTTGAGAAGAGCGCCCCAGAGACTTGTACAAGCTTCAAAATGCTTGTCTCTATTCTTGTTCCTCTTCCTCTTCTTCTTGTCTKAACATCGGCTCCTGCTCCACTCTATTCTTGTTCCTCTTCCACCCCAGTCCACTTAGCCGTTTGGTTGAGTGTTTGCCTCTTAACGTGGAGGTCACGTGTTCGATCCTTGGATTGGTGCGGACGGACAGATTACTGTCTGGAGTAAGTTTCAATTCAATTCAATTCTTCTTCCTCTCTGATCATCTGCTCCTGCTCCCAGTGTCGGAAGAGGAGGACGAATCACACCGAAGAGCAAGCGTATAGTATTGAACAACGTGGAGGAAGAGGACTGACAAGTCAGCGAATGGCGAGTAGAGACTAGACGCAAGAAAAGGACGAACCAGAACTGCTATGAATGAAGGCCACCAAACCCACCGAGTGGGAGCGTCAGGACTCCTACCCTTTTTTTTTTTTTT